AATATTAAAACAAAGCACAGCAACACTGTTATAGAAAACTTTATGCTGAAAATTTTATAGCTTATGTGGGAAAAAAAAAGTTTAGATGGATTCCTATTGAAACTAAATTAGAAACCTTTAAATGTGCATGGTTTTGTTCATGCACTTTTTTTTTTGCCACCTCCATTTTGTTATTTTTTAATACAGATGATCATGTGTCTCCACTTCCTTTCACTAAAGCCAATTGAAGTTAAAATTTCCCTGACTCTTTGGATTCTGTGCTCATGTTTGATCATGAGAGAGCAACCCGGTATCATGATCTCTCCCAAACTCCTCCAGTACATTTGCAAATACACAATCATGACATCACGCCAACATCAGAATCCAAATGACTATATCAAAGCAAACATAAAAGAATTTTTTTTTTTTTTTTTTTTATGGACAATGTGGCAAATGTGCCTTGGGGCTGTCAAAGACCAACTTCCTAAACAGAACAGACTGGAATACTCACAAAATGGATTCACCTGTAGACACTGCCATGGGACCATAATTTATCAGGGGGATGCTGAGGGGCAGGCTTTTCTCTTTTTCTCGTATTTTTTTCTCGTCACAAACCACATATCACAACATAAAAATGAAATAATACTTTAAACTATTTTTCTGAATAGAGGTGGAAAACTGCTACAGAATAAAACGTGTATATCAACCTAAAATTCTTAATTGACAGGAGCAGGTTTCCTGTTGCCATGTATGTTGAGATTATGCAAAGAAATGTCCTCCATTCGTACAACACTAGCATGAAACAATACAAAAACGTTGTATGGGTTGTAACAGTTGTGGCAACATATCATTAGGCCAGTAATGTGAATGCCTGTGTACATGTAGGATTCAAATGAAGTGCACTTTGATAGGGTGTGAATTTAAATGAATGCATAGGCTAGTGTACACCGAATAAATTGGAGATACGCTGGGCTACTTTTTTAGGACTTGGGAGGCACTAGGTACTTGGACAAATATACTAAAAATAAAGCGACACAATTGCAACACGATCATTAAAAAAAAAAAAAAAACACTTTCATCTTATTCATAATAACACTGAATGCTCAGGTATTGTAGATGTATAAGGATCAAAACTGTACCATGATGAAAAAGTGTTGAACAAGTATGTGATTTTTTTACTAACAAACTGCGTTAGTAAATTCTACAAATAGTCATTTTCTTAAAAGGTTAATCACCTTACACCTATCCAAAACCACTACATTTATAGTATACATTTAATCTTGTCCAGTTGACTGCTATGTATAAGACCTGTAGACATCTTTATTGAATCTGCACTCTCAGAAATAAAGGTACAAGAGCTGTCACTGGGGCAGTATCTTTTCAAAAGGTAAATATTTGGAGCTGAAAAGTCCATATTAGTACTTCAAAGGTACATTTTAGGTGCATTTGGGTACTGATATGTACCTTTGATGTACCACTAAGGACTCTTTAGGTACAAATATGTACCTTTTGAAAAGGTACTGCCCCAGTGACAGCTCTTGTACCTTTATTTCTAAAAGTGTAGCTACTTATCATTTCTACCAATGTAGAAAACTCTAGCTATGTTTCCATTCAAATATGTGAATTAAACTTACATGCAAAACTGGAATATCACATAAAACATTTGTTAATTAAACCACAGTTTCCATCCAGTGAGTCAAAGAGAGCAAAATCGCCACCTCCAGATATTTTTTGTAGTAGAAGATGCCACTGTGGACCTTTTTTCTGTGTAAATGACTTAAGGCCTTGGGATTGACCTTATTCTTTACATACTAGCAGGCAAATCTATTGGAATCTTTTTGGCTCACGATTTCTGGTTTCTTTCACTTCCGTTGATTATTATATGCTTAAAATAGCATGTTGTGCCGCTTCATGCTGCAAACTGATCGTTTCATATTATATTATTCTAGTTTTTAAGTATAGTCATGAACACGCTTGTTTTGTAGCGCAAGCAGTTTGATCGTTTTGTGTCATACTAAAACAATCGCAAAAGCGAGCTAATGTCTCCTTCGCAGAATAAGGTCAATACTTCAAATGAAAATCAAACAATAAACTGAAATGATGTAATGTTGAACATAATCTGAACAAAGTTAAGTTCATGTTAAGTTTGTTTCCATGGTTCGAAACAGCTGACCAAAGGAAAGTTTGGGGGATTATATTTTGAATTCTAAACACCTTTGAACTACAGTACCATTGATCCGTGGTGAAGTGTGATTCCTTCCTCGATTCATATCTTATTCCACAGTGGTCAGACAACATCCACCATAAAAAAACAACACTAGCCACATGAATGCACTGGAGCATTGAGGTTCAGAGCTGATACAGATGTATCTTCACCTGTACGTTCGATCACAAAGAGATTTGAAAGACTTGGAGGGGGTCACACACCAGACGATAAGCCCACCTCGTCACATTCTGTCTTTTCTATAAGTTTACTCACACTGGTGGAACCGTTCGGTGTCTGTCCATTACAAAAAGAAACAATGTAAAGATATTGCATGTTGCTGTGGCACTTTTCATGGAGAAGGCTGTTGCCAGATGTTTATGACTCTGTTCTCTCTTTGCCGCCATCTTTGTGTTTAAGGGTATGTGCGAGCACAGCAAGACACATTTACAACCCTGCCTACTTCAGCGTAGAGGTTTTGAAGAACAGTATACCACCAGTCAGCCTTTTCAAACTTCTTTTTGCCCTCAAACATAGAATAAGAACTTTATTTTAAAGTAAACCAGGGCCAACATGCCTCAGAAGACTAAGATCAACATGTGGTGGTTTTTGGAGCACAGACGCTCAAGATTGTGGGAAATTATTTTGCCGAACTCCTTTGATGATGGATAAATTGTCATGACTTTTTTCCATAGAGCGAGTGGGGATGGGGCTGAAAGCCGTGAGAATAGAACGAGGTCGGTGGCAGGAGTGTTAACGTCTCACGGAGGAGCTCTGGAAAAAATGGATTGATGAAGCCAATTATGATATGGGGATGGCTAAGGCCATGATGGACAGAGGCCAGAGGGCAAATTTGACCAGGATGTTAAACCGCTACTCTTTTTTTGAAGGACATCCTGGGATTTTTAATGACCACAGAGAGTCAGTACCTCAGTTTACCATCTCATCCAAAAGACATCGCTCACTGAGCAGTATAGAGTCCCCATCAATATACTGGGGTGTTAGGATTTACACAGACCGCAGGTTGGGCGCCCCCTGCTGGTCACACTAACACCACTTCCAGCACCAACTTAGCTTTCCCATGTGGTTATTCTTCAACGTACTGATCGGGAACAGCCCTACTTAGCTTCAGTGAGGGATTTTAAGAATTTGTCAGTTACCTGCATTCTTCTTTCCAATGGCCAGGAAACCATCAACTTTTTTACAAATACATTTTTAGAAAGTTCAAACCTCTTCGTTCAACCAAATATACATCACTTTCCGTCATTTTATGTTATGACTTTTTTATGTGTGTTCTGGAATTTATTTAGGTAAATTTGTTTCCTTTGTAGTTTATGTGCAGTTTAGTTTATCATAATAAGTTGTGTGCAAATGTTTTTAGTGTGCACTCGTAACATTCACGCGCATGTCACTCCGTTATTCCGTTACTTGTGTGTGTGTGTGTGTGCGTGCGTGCGTGCGTGTGTGTGTGTGTGTGTGTGTGTGTGTGTGTAGGTGTGTGTAGGTGTGTGTGTGTGTGTGTGTGTTTGTGTGTGTTTGTGTGTGATGTTTGTTCGTATATGTACACTACCTGACAAAAGTCTTGTTGTCAATCCCAGTTATAAGCAGTTATAAAAGCAACAAAAAAAACTTGACCATTTGGAAGTGGCAGAAGGTAGAATTTTTTTTTTTTGATAAATCATGTTGAAGTGCATTGCAATCATCTCAAACACTTCAGAAGACCTACTGTAACCCGCATGGACCCAAGATTCTCACAGAAATCAGTCAAGTTTGGTGAAGGACTAATTATAGTTTGGGGTTACATTTAGTATGGGGGCATGCAAGATCTGGAGAGCAACATTAACAGCCTGAGGTATCAAGACATTTGTGCAGCCCATTACATTACAAATCAAAGGAGAGGGCAAATTCTTCAGCAGGACAGTGCTCCTTCTCATTCTTCAGCCTCCACATCAAAGTTCCTCAAAGCAAAGAAGGTAAATGAGGGCCAGGATCGGCCAGCCCAGTCACTGGACATCAACATTATTGAGCATGTCTGGGATAAGGTGGAGGAGGCATTAAAGATAATTCCAAAGAATCCTAATGAACTCTGGGAGTCCTGCAAGAACACTTTCTTTGCCATTCCAGATGACCTTATTAAAAAGTTATCCAAGTCATTGCAGAGATGTATTGATGCTGTCCTCCAAGCTCATGGCAGTCATACACAAAATTAATTCTTTTTCCACTGCACCATGACTTTATATTCTTTACTGTACATTATTTCTGTTAAGTGAAAAGAGATTTGGCGATGCAGTGGCGCAGTAGGTAGTGCGGTCGCTTCGCAGTGTGGAGTTTGCATGTTCTCCTTGCATTCGCGTGGGTTTCCTTCGGGTGCTCCGGTTTCCCCCACAGTCCAAAGACATGCGGTACAGGTGAATTGGGTTGGCTAAATTGTCCGTAGTGTATGAGTGTGTGTGTGAATGTGTATGTGGATGTTTCCCAGAGATGGGTTGTGGCTGGAAGGGCATCCACTGTGTAAAAATGTGCTGGATAAGTTAGCGGTTCATTCCGCTGTGGTGACCCCGGATAAATAAAGGGACTAAGCCAACAAGAAAATGAATGAATAAATGAAAAAAGATTTGTTTAAGCAAAAGTTTTGGTAGAATAAGCGTGATCTAGAGGCCTTTGTCTTTCATATAAGCCACTTCTGATACCAAATGATCAACTAGAAACTAAAACTTGGATAAGTGTCAAGAATTTTGTCAGGTAGTGTATTTATGTATACATTTGAAGTGTATTAGACAACAACACAAGCAGTAAAAGAAAACTTTGGAGAGTGAAAACACTGATAATACAGATTTATATACATACACATTTATACAAATTCAGAACACCCATACCCGTGTCTTTTATAAGATTTGATCATCTATTTTCATTTCTTTTCTTTAATCTTTTTTTTGTTATTTTTTTTAGTGGACTTTCCTTTTTTATTGTAGTTTTAATACACGAAGACACTAGGCCACAAATGCAACATAAAAAAAATCCACTTTGAGAGAGAGAGAGACACAATGATATCCACGTTTATGAGAGTACATAGAACCAGCAATGAGCTCTCAGAAACTGGTTATCAGGACATAATATGAAGATATTCGGGGAGCCTACAATGTCCTGTCTAAGAGCTGCTAGAAAAACAACTAGTCTCACTGTAATTTCTTGCACAAACCCCTCGATGGACTCCTTCTTGAGCACTTTTTTTTCCACAGATGTTTTATATCTAATCCTTATAGCAGCTGGAATTAAAGGACACACAAAACCTGATTTTCTCCTCTGACTTAGCATCAGGTTTGACAAAATAGACGCACCACTATCTAAAATGTTTACGTCATGCTCTTGAAGGTGTCCTAAATGTTTTTTTTAGTAAAGGGTCCGACAGTCTTAATACTGAGCGCAGTTTTAAAGTAGCATAACACTTTTTTTAATATTGTTAACAACAGTTTGGCATTCAGTTATGTTTATATAGCACCACCCATTGATCAGGTTAACATTCTAAATCTGTTTTTACTCAACCATGATGACATATCAAGAAAACGAAATTAAAGTTGCATTCACGACTCGACTAACACTGCATATTTTCTGTGCTGCACCAGTATTAGGACCGCGGACGTTTGCAGGCTCTTTGAGGGCTCCGGTTTAGTTTGGATGAGGGCAGAGAGACAGTGGAGGAGGGTCCATTATGGCCAGTTTGGTTCTGGAGGTCCAAAAAGCTGCAGCTCCACACTGACTCACCGTCCCAGGATCCCACTGAAAGACAAAAACAGTTACAGGTGTGTCATCCAGATCATATGCAGGATCATATGCATACAGCGGGGAAAATAAGTATTGGACATGAGATTTTTCCTGGAAATAATATTTCTAACGGAGCTGTTGACATGAAATTGAACCAGATTTTAGTAAAAAATCAAACAATACAAACATAAAAATAAAACAAAACAATGATCTGAAAAATGAGAAGGAGAAAGTACTGAACTACTGAAATGTATTTAATACTTTATATAAACGGCTTTTTTGGTTATGGCAGCTTAAAAACACCTCTCATACGGAGAGTCAAGTCACATGAATTGCTCAGGTGTGAGTTTTTCACAGGCTTCAAAAATCTTGATGGTTCTGTGGGTCTCGTCTATCAAATCTGATCTTTAATTTGTGTTTTTTTATTGGATTAAAGTCAGGTGATTGGCTGGGCCATTCCACAGCTTGATTTTCTTTTTCTAAAACCTTTTAAGTTTCCTAAGCTGTGTTTTGGATCATTGTCTTGCTTAAATGTCCACCCTGGTTTCATCTTCATTGTCCTGCTAATGTAGATGTTGGACTGAACCAGCTAATATTCATTTAAGGGCAGAGGGTTGCTGAAGAATTACGGAAAGATTTCTGCTGTTGTCTGCTTTTCTTTACCTCCCTTTCTTCATGTGTTCAATACCTTTTCCCAGCATCATTTAATTTTATTCCACATAACTTAATTTGTAAACAAATTACATTTGTTCACATTCTTTGGTTATTACCAACATCCACGGCAAATTTAAATTCAACGGCACTTTTAGAATTATGTTTTTTGAGAAAAAATTATTTTCCTTAAGATTCAAATTAGACATATGGCCATAACTTAAATGTTGCTTAAAAACATTTGCGAATAAAGCACCGATTCCATCTAATGTTTAAAGAGAACAAAATCGCTCTTCGACAGTGCAAGTTCTGGAAGATAATAATACTGAACCACTTTGAAGATGGACTTTGGCTGAGGGGTTTTAGTATAACAATGTCATCAGTTTACTGGTTTGTCCATAAGTAGACACTGCTATTGTGTAGTGTAGAGTAGTAATGTACGTTATTACATTTTGCAAATAATAATTCTGAAAAGTTAATTTAGATTTATTGTAGAGTTAATTGTGCTAAAAAATTTGAATCGTTGTCCAATGCAATAAGTATGAATGAAACTTTTTTAAATATCATAATCATACCAGTTATATAGCCACAAAATCAACAAAAACAGCATATTTCTAAAAATGAAAAGTATAACTATTACATTTAAAAAAGTTAAAAATGAAAAGCAAATTAAAAAAAAAATAATAATAAATTTTTTTTGTTTGATTTTTTTTTTTCCTGTTAGTGTCTTAGGGCTTACTCAAACTATGTACAGTTGCCTTGAACCGGGGAAAAGCACGCTTGTCCCCCCTTCGGTCTCCCCCGACAGCCCGCACTCACATTACATTCAGGGCCTGGGCACGATTAGGTGATCGATGATTCATCGAATCGCTCTCAATGAATCATCGATTAAAAAAAGCTCTCTCGCTCAGCACAGTGGAGATTGCTTTAGTAATATTGTTTAAGTCGTTTGATAAGCAGTGACATGCAGTCAAATATTTCGCCGAACGGATCAGACACTTTTGACGCTCATAAACAACCATATAGTACTCGTGCTGCAGGAATTAGGAGGTTTGCCTGAAGGTGCAGCTGTTGTGCAGTGAGGGGTTTGCGTCTTTAATAAACTGCAACAGTTTGCGTTCACTGAACAGTAAGAATGATTTTTAAATCCATTTATATCCAATTTTGAGCTTTGGCGTAGTACGCTTGTGTGTGAGTGCAAAACGCGCCAAAGCCCGAAACTGATAGCCAGACGTGACTTTTAAGGGACTGTTTCCTATGGATTTAATAATCATCCATTAAATTGCTTAAGCACACCTCTTGGCCTGGGCACGGTTCGGATAGCATAGTGTGAGTAGGCCCTTGTTGTTTTTCACAATCCTGACTTTTATTGCAGGTTATATCCAATATGCAATATTTGTTCTTTTTTGGCAAAAATGGGCTTCAATAACACAAAATATTACTATTATGTCAGAATCTTAACTTTTTATGTCTAAATTATTTTAAATTTGTAATGATTTATTTCAGTTCAATTGAAGTTTAAGCAGCTTTAGAAAAGATGCACATTATTGCAATTCAATCAAAATGTAAAAAGTATTTTTTCTCTTATGGCACAAATGGGCATCTATTTTTATTAACATTAAATATTAATCTTAAATAATAATATTACTTAGAATAGCATTTAGTTTGTAATTGCTTAAAGGGAAAATTCATCCAAAATAAAAATCTGTCGTCATTTTCTCACCCTCCATTTGTTAAAAAACTGATTGTGTAATTCTTCTTTAGCTGAATACAAAATAAATATTGCAGAGTGTTCGCCATGGACTTCCATGCAATTTTCTTCCCTACTATGAAATTACAGTAAATGGCTACTGGTTTCCAGCATTTTTCAAAATATCTGTGTGTGTGCAATAGATTAAAGAAACTCATATGTTTGGGTGTACAAATAATGGTGAGAACATTTACACTGAGAAGATTTTATTGGTGAATTTTCAGGTGGCTCAGTGGTTAGCACTGTTGCCTCACAGCAAGAAAGTCTGTGGTTCAGGTCCTGACAGGGCCAGTTGGCATTTCTTTGTGGAGTTTGCATGTTCTCCCAATGTTAACGCGGGTTTCATCCGGTTTCCCCCACAGTCTAAAGCAGGGGTTGGCAAACTCGGTCCTGGAGGGCCGGTGTCCTGCATAGTTTAGCTTCAACACGAATCAAACACACCTGAACATGCTAATCAGTGTCTTCAAGATCCCTAGAAATCTATAAGCAGGTGTGTTTGATTAGAGTTGGAGCTAAACTGTGCTGGACACCGGCCCTCCAGAACCGAGTTTGCCCACCCCTGGTCTAAAGACATGCGATATAGGTGAATTGAATAAATCAAATTGCCCGTAGTGTATGAGTGTGTGTGTGAATACGAGAGTGTATGGGTGTTTTCCAGTACTAGGTTGCGGCTGTAAGGGCATCCATTGCGTAAAACATATGCCGGAATAGTTGCCAGTTCATTCCACTGTGGCGATTAATAAAGGACTAAGACGAAGGAAAATGAATGAATGAATGGAGAATTCTCCCTTTAAGGCAATAATAGTCAAATGCTCAATAGTCAAATGCTGCAAAAATGAAAAAATTCCTTCACAAATGCCTGCAGCACATCTAGACGTTACCTGTGAAGTGTGTGTGTGTTTCACTGGCCGTGGTTCCTGGTTACTGGTGTGATGATGTAGGCTGATGATGTGTTAATGTGTCAGAAGGGTTTATGGGTAGTTGAATGGGATAATCAGGTGGCCAGTGTAGAGCTCCTGCGCACCGTCACTCTCCGTCCAGATCTTATCTATAGAAAACACACACACACACCGTCACCACCACACAGCAGAGGATCATGGGAAACACACACAGTCTGTTCTCATGCATCTGCAGACTTTATCTTGATATCGTTTATTTTTCATTATCCAAGCACATCATTTCTGCGTGGCACTTTTAAAAGACACAACAGATGTTGGCATGCAAACACGTGCGTTTGTAGACATGACCAGACAAGACGTGATATCTTATAATAATTAACAGTTGTCCATAGCTCATGATTCAGGTGTTTTATCTGTTTATTTCTACATTTAAATTGCATTATTAGACCTTGATCTGGACTCTTGATACTTTCTTGATATTTTTAGTTGTTTGAAAGTACTCTGTAAAAATATTTGATCAATTAGTCCTGACAGCATATGTTTTTAGTTTCTTGTAACTTATTAAATTAAGCTAATCATGTTCTAACTAAGTTTTATAAGTTACACCATCTGTTTTAAGTCAGTTTAACATACAGTAATATTCAAAGTTTAATGAACTCATAAAGGTAATTAAGTCAACCAGGATTTTTTTTAGTGTACTTGTTTTCTAGTACAAAATACCTAATAATTAACAGTATTTTTTTGTGCTGTAATTTACACGACCAGCCAGTGTAGATAAAATTCATACAGTTAAAGACAACATTTTTAGACCTCCTGTGAAATCTTAATTCTTTTTCAAATATTTCCCAAGAGATGTTACACTGAACAAATTTTCTGAGTATTTTAGTTTTCATCTGATGAAAGTTTTTTTTTTTTCACTTGGCTTGAACAAAACAATGTAAAAAGAAATGTAAAATCTGCTACAGTCAATAGTGTTAGACCAATTAAGATTTATTTTTGTCCCCGATTTGCTGCAGAACAAACCACTGTTGTCCAATGACTTGTCTAATTTATTTAACATGCCTAGTTAACTTAATTAACCTAGTTAAGCCATTCCATCCCAGCAGACACACAATGTCACAAGACATTAATGTTAAGTTACATTTAGGTCACCAGGGTCTAAGGACAACGTTATTTAGACATCCACTAACAATGTGAAATGACGCTGATATTTTGTTGATTTTAGGTTGTGTTGGAAAGTGATCAAAATCTAATGTCGAGCCAACATCTTAATCATAATTAATCATAATGATGTCAAATACTGACATTAATTTGTCAGGTTTGACAACCAAAATCCAATGTCTGACAAACGTCATGTTGGTAATGTCCACACAATGTCTATTAGACATTAGACATTGATATTTTATTATTTTTAGGTTGTTGGAAAGTGACCAAAATGCAACATCTGTCCTATGTTGAACATTGACATTGGTCTGATGTTGGGTTCTGATGTCAACCCAATTTTCATTTCTAAACAAAATGCAATGTCCCATAACGTTGGGGTATAATGTCAATCTGACGTCATGATGACGTCCTGTGCCTGCTGGGATAGCATTTTAAGCTGAATTGTAAAATATTATCAACAATCATTATGGTAAAGACAAAAAAAAATTGTTATTAGAAAACTTTTATTAAAATTGTTTAAGTAGTCTGAAAAAAAAACCTCTCTGTTAAACAGCACTTGGGAATCAGGTAAAAAAAAGATTTTAAAATTTAAAGGAGAATAATTCATTGCTGTAATTTCTGTATAAAAAATTTAGCTTTTTTATTTTTAAGTATTATTAAGTAAAAAGTATTTTTTTTTTTTAGCTTAGCTATTTATTTAAAATAAGAAGTTGTCTGAGGAGAGCTCAATAATCCATAATGCAAACAAATGTGTAAACAAATGAAAAACACACATGAATCACGAAATCTGGCAAATTGTTGAATACTAGATTTTGCTTTACTGTCTTGTTAAACTTTTTTGTTGTTTGTTTTAATGAAAGGGCAACAATCATTATTACAATCATGTCTGGATGTGACTTCAGTGATTCTCATTGTCTTATAATGTGATTTTAGTTTATTTGTTCATATTTAATTGCTTCTAGACCGCACTGGTTTAGGTAAATGCTGATGAACAGTAATTAGTTCATTTCATTTATTCCTTCATTTTCTTGATGGTAGTGGGACCTGACAGAAATCTGGTGCAGAAATCTTTAGACCAACTCAGTTTTCATTTTTAATAATGCCTGCAGGGTTTGGAAAACATTTTTATAATCATTAATAAATAGATGTAGTAAATCTAAAACAAAATTTGAGGTCCTGTTCTTCCATTTTTATTGAATTATTCTTATGAGGTAACAATTAGTGTTGGTCCTTTTTCTTTCATAAATAAGTTGGTTTAGAGCTCCTATTGACCTTACACTGCAGAAATCATCCCAGAACATAAAAAACACTCCCCGTTAGCTGCTCGCATATTAACAGTATTTACAAATTTACAGTAGAGTTTTACCTTTTTTGGATCCATTCAGCCAATCTCTGGGCCCTATCATACACCCGGCGCAATGAGCCGCAAGGCCTGACGCAAATGTTATTTGCTACTGTCAGCTCGGCGCAAGGGTCATTTTGAGGTGTTGCGCCATGCTTTTTAAATAGCAAATGCATTTGCGCTTATATGTGCGCCCATAGGCGTTCTGGTCTAAAAAAGCAGGAGTGTTTTGGTGCGTTGCTTTTTTGAGAAACTGTAATAGTCTGTTCTTTAGACCAGAACAAACCCGGTGTACAGTCCGTTAGTTGTGCGCCTTGCTTACACACAAGATGTAGAAATATCTTTACATATGAAAAAGAATTAAAATATTAAGGATATATATATATATATATATATATATATATATATATATATATATATATATATATATATATATATATATATATATATATATATATATAAAGAATTCAAATATTACAAAACATATTATTTTCTAGCCTACATGAATTTAAAAACCACTGCCTTGAATCCTGCATCTCGGGAGGCTTTTTCAGTTCATTCAATTTGCTTTTGTATAATGTTACTATTATTAACAGTATTATTTATTGTATCCATATTTATATTTGTTTAATTAAAAACAAGCTTAGATTTTTAACGGTTTTAGACCGAATGGGGCATAGCAGGTATATTTGTAAATAACTCAGTATTTTGAGCACACTTCGTTATTATAGTTAATTTATTAGTTTGCCAGAACTGAATTTAGAAATTCAAATTCAGAAACTTTGCGCTTAACAAAGTTAATTATTTATGGGCTAATTGATGTCTGTGCCTAAAGGTTTCCCTATCCAAGAGAGCAAAAGCGAAAGTGAACTTACTTTACGTCATGTAAATAGCAAATACGCTTATGGCGCGATGCAACTGGCTCTTAAAGGGAGTGGGAGATGAGACTCTGATTGGTTTATTCTCAAAACACACCTATTACTCATTAAGAAAATAAACTTAACCCTTTTAGACCATGCACCATGACGCAAAACGGATTTTCCTGTCCTCATATTAGCACATATAGATTCTGACACCCTGAATGCGTTTGTGCCCTGCGCTTTCCATTTTGCGCATGGCCTGTCAAAATAGAGCCCTCTGTGTCTGATGGGAGCACTTTTAGCTTAGCATACATCGTTGTATCAGATTAGAACATTAGCATCTCACACAAAAATGATCAAAGATTATTAATAATTTTCATATTTAAAGCTCGACTCTTCTGTGGACACATGATGTACTAAGACCGACAGAAAAATTAAGAATGATACTGTCATTTAGGTAATGATAAAGAAGATTTGTTGCCATACCACGGCTGCAGCAGGCACAATTATTTTATGCAGCATCTGAAAAATATAGTCTCTGCACCATGCCTTACACTTGCAACACCAGTTAGAATTGTGCCTGCTGCAGCCGTGGTACAGCAGCAAAGTTCCCTGATTATTACGCCAGAATGAGAGTATAGTTCCTAGCCATATCGTAGACATGCCTAGAAAACAACATCTTTAATTTTCATCTGTCTTATTACACAATGTAACTAGAGAAGAGTCAAGCTTTAAATATGAAAATCAAAGAAAAGAGATCAGCTGAATGGATTCAAAAATAGTAAAAGTCAACTATTTAACTTTAGGCAAGTAGGAAAACTAGTGGCTTGATTAAGTTTTAGCAGTCATTATTCCAGTTTTCATCTTCATGTGATCCGTCAGAAATGTTATTATTGTGCTTTTTAATAGATTTATTACGCTGATTTAGAGCTCACATTTTTTATTGTTTTCAATTTGGAAAACAGTTTAGCTGCTTAATAGTTTTGTGTAAAAAAACATGTTTTCAAGATTATTTTATAAACAAAACCTGATTCTGTAACGTTATAAATATATTTTACTGCTGCATTTGATCAATTTAATGAATCCTTTTCAAATGAAAGTATTTCTTAGGTAAAAAGAAAAAAAAAAGAAAAAAAACAGTCTTTGAATGAAAGCTGATATAGTTCAAAAATGCATTTTACTAAACTTCATTTTCTTTTTTTTACAGATTTAAAATAAATGTTTATATTCTAATAATAAACATTTATATTCTACTTATATTACATTTATATTTTATTGTATTTGTCACAGTTACCAGCGATCTAGCTCATGCAGATCACTGTAGAACTACAAATCTACCAGCAAAAAAACTACATATCCAGTCATGCACCACTCACACACCTGACCTAGATCCCATAGTGTGCAAAAAGACACACCTGAAGCTGTTCAGGACTAATTACACAGACTTTTTATACATCTCTCAAACACACACACGGCTGAGTCTTATTATACTGTTTTTGAACATTACGATGTGTTCACCTTTGATACATGGTTCACGCTTTGAAGTATGTATCAAAAAAACGATACATCTCGCAGTAAAGCAGTGTAGCGGAGCTTGATTCGTTTTGCCATAATCACGTGACCACTGACGTCCGAAGCTTCATTTTCGCTTATACCCATGTGACTGCTTCAAATTTTGATTCAAAGGTTTAAACACCCTCATGGTTTAGTAAAGTGTATAGCGAGAGATTAGGCTTCAATTACATACATTTCTAATGTTTCAAAACACTTCACCGATCCCACA